CCTTTGAATGCTTTGTGCACTTAAACTTTCCGTAGTAAAAAGAAAACAGTCAACTCTGAAAATCAGATATAATACTCGTGTGTAATGCTTTAGTGACTTTTACCATCGGATATTAGTCTAGTGGTTAAAGTGTAGCGTGTAATGCATGGATTAGTTGTGCCTCATGGCTTTCATCTAGTCGTAGACATAAGTCTGGTATTTAATCGCCGAATGATGGAGAGGAAGGAAGATGAATTTTCTTTATAAAAACTTAGATAAAAAAAGATAATGCCTACTTATTTTTCATGATTTTTTTATCTATAAAACAAAAAATCTACAAGATAGTAGCCATGGGTACCTTAGGTGACCCATATTTTTTGTTTTTGTTGAAATTTTAAGGCAGGATTTATGGCATAGTTCATTGAAAGGTACTCAAAGTCAAGATTCTGTAAACAAATGAACACTCCATCATTTGGACACATACTAAACTGTCTAATAGTTGTCACTATAGAGACAAAGCAAAAAAAAAAAAAAAGGAACAAAAAAGCCATGTTATGTGAAGGAAAAAGTGGAGGGAGCATTTAGACCACTCTACCATTTGACCTTGTCATTTCATGAGTCTTTTTCTTTTTGCGTATCGCATCGTCACTCTTTTTGGTGATATCTGCTAATAGTTTTAATACAAAAATAACTTACATTACCAATGATTTTTTATGCAAATTCCCAAGAAGTCCTGCAAAATAATTTTTTTTGAATCATGCCAAAAAAAAAACATCATAACCTTGATTTCCTCCTTTTAGATTTAACTTTTGGAACTCGTATAACTAGTATGTGAATAAAAAAAAAGTTATTTAATAAAACATAATTGGTTAAGGAATCGTTATTGCTACTAATTGAATCAAATGGTGCTTATTTGTAGAACATAATTGAGTTTTAGAGAACCTATATAATTAAATGACTCTTAATATTATTGTGTTTTAAACTTAGTATAACTAGTATCTAAACCAAATGTCGTCTTTTAGTAGAACATAATTGAGTTTTGGAGAATCGACATATTAGTATGTGAACCAAATGACAACTACTAAAAGCACATGACAGAGTTTTAGAGAATCAATATAACTAGTATGAGAACCAACTGACGCCTATTAATAGAACATAATAGAGGTTTAGAGACTCAATATAACTGGTATATAAATCAAATGACGCCTACCAATACAACATAATTGAGTTTTAGCGAATCAATATAACTAGAATGTGAATTAAATAAAACATTTTAAAGTTTTAGGGAATCAGTATAACTAGTATGTGAATCAAACAACGCCTACTAATAAAACATCTTTAAGTTTTAGGAAAAATCGGTATATAACACCTACTAACAAAACATAATTGAGTTTTGGAGAACCGATATTAACTATATGTGAACCAAATAACGCGGACATAACTGGAGTTTCAAGAAATCAATATAAATAGTATGTGAACCAAATGACACCTGCTAATAAAATATTATTGAATTTTAGAAAGTCTATAGTATTGAAACCACTAATATAACATTATTAACACAAAAATGATTCTTATAAACAACCACAACTAATTTGCATATGGAGTTTAGTTGATTAATTGTAATATCTCGAATCCATTCCACCCTACTCATCAATAGTTAAGTAGGCCCAAGTGAGCACAAACAAGGGGGGAACAAACATATGTAGACCATGCCTTCAGACTTGAAGATAGGATATATATATATATATATATATATATATATATATATATATATATATATA